TTAGTTGCAAACAAATATTAACTCAGCACATTTTTATTTGCAAATAATACGTGCGTATAAACGTAGTAATTCTCACTGGTACTCTCGTATCGGGCATGTTGAGAATTTTCATTCTCATGCATTTATATTTCATTTTATTATAAAGGTTTACCAAATCGGTGTTAATAGCCCTATTATTTTTCTATTGTTTAACTTCTATTTTCTTGAATCTAGCACACACGGTGCTTGCATTCCCGTTTCACACTGGGGTACTACCCAAGGTACATTGAACAGGTAGTATCAGTACAGCAGCTGATTTGATTTATTTTCAAATTATTTGGTCTCGAAAATGTCAAATATTTTTAATTTTTTCTCACAAAAATTCTGAATTGTTAAAATCCATTTGCATGTGAAACCAAGGTGTATTAAACAAGGTGGTGTTGGGGCGACAGCTGAGTTTTTCGCCGTGGAGGCCATTACGTCAAAATGATGTGTTTGTTGTAACTCATACCAATGACAGTATGGACATCAGCGTATAATTTGTTAGTGTAATTTTTTACTTATATACGGCCAACACCACCTTGTTAAATACGCCTTGTGTGAAACCTTTTTCCATACAAAACAAGCGATTGAATAGCAGCTTTTGGAACGTTCGCCCAACTCAGCAGCACAACCGCTGATTACTGGCCCTTGTAAAGGATGGATCAATGCTTCGAGAAGCAAACAAATTTACTAGGAAAGAAAGTTGCATCAATTTTTATTTTTTCCAATTTGAATTTTTTATTTTTTATAATTTTTTGTATTTAAGATGGCACGCTTTGATTTAGAAGAAAAAATTCAGAACAGTTTTTGACACTTTCGATACCAGAAGCAACAACAAAATACACGCAAATGTTGTTTTTGCTCTACTGATACTACCTGTTTAATGTGCCTTGGTACTACCAAAATCATGTACATATGTAATACAAGGTTGAAATTTAATACCAATTGTATGGCAGTCAAAAAATTTTCAAACATTTTTGTTAGAAAATTTTTGAGTATTTACATATGTACTTTTATAGACTGTGGGATTCTAATATAATAAAACGCATGTCTGAAGTGCTTCAAGCGCTTAGCTGCTGAGCTAAGAATTTGCGTTGATTTTACTACCTACAGTTTAACAAAAAATGTGAACCTGAACTTTGTATAGGTAGTAATTTTTCGCGCTAAGCCCGAATCCATCCATCACGCCAAGGTTTTTGAGATACCCCATCCCAAAATGGTAAAAAATAATATTTCTTGATATATTTTAATTTACTCAAACATTTGAAATTTTCATATTGTCTATGATACGTTTCTTATAATTAGGGATGTGCCGGGTATCCGGTAGATATCCGGAATCCGGCCTATCCGGCCGTTTTTTGGATACTGGCTAATATCCGGCCGGATTCCGGATATCGATTATAGAAGATTCAATTTAGAAATTTAACCCAGATTTTGTATTTTTGTAATCCAATTTAATAGTATCTAATTAGTAATCAAAGTTAACAATTTGTATATTTTTCATTATGAAAAGAAGCATTTCCGCATTATCGGGCAACAACCTATTTCTATTTTCAACATAAATGTTACCCGATGCACTAAATACTCTTTACAAGTTCACTGAGGAAGGTGGCGCGCAGAGATACTTCATTGCCAGTGTAAACAAATTTGGAAATTCTTGCGGCTATACTTCCACCAAGTTAAGGGATCTTCTTGTCTGGATATAAGAGCTAGCTGCAAATATTTCTCTATTTCTAGTTCATAAATTGCTGCCTTTTTTCTTGTAAGTTCGCTGCCTTGTCTACCAATCGTTTGGATATCCATGTCACTAGAAACACTAAAATCAGCATCAGAGCCGTTGGCGATTTCCTCAAAGCATTGCCAAATATCCTCGTGAGCTCGATCTTCGATGGAAGCTTTCACTATAGTTCGGCATTTTTCATATGATTCAGCTGGTTTCTCCATGCTAACTGATCTATAATTTCGAATTAGTTAATCAACAACCCAGTTTTTAGCTTTATTGGCGTCAGAAAAAAAACGAGTTTAGAAATGTGGGTCACAAAATGTTGCAATAGTGAAGCTTTGTCGTTGTTGAATGTTTAACACAGCTTGAGTTGCGACAGAGTTGCATTGGCTTCAGTTTATCAGGTTTATTCAGTGAAATCGCTCAGAATCAGAAATGTGTAAACGAATTTCCATACAAATTTTGACAGTTCATTTATAAAGTTTACACAATTATAAGTCTATACGGTTTACATTGCATTTATAAGCTTTGATGAATACCCTTAGTAGTTTTGACTTTCATCAAATTTGATAGTCGTTTGACATGTGCTGTGGACCGTGTAAAGTGCTGTTTGATCAAATTGATAAACAAAGTGAAAGAACAAGTGCCCGATAATTTAAATAAAAAGAAGAAATGAGCAAGAAAAGAAAATAATTCGACTTCATTTTAGAACTAATAAATTATTTCAAAAATCTCCAAAACCTTTTTTGTGGTGATACAACTTCAACAAAAACTGAAATTTTATGGGTTTTTTGACGTGTGTAAGTCAAACCATCTAATTACACAGACATATCTGTGCACAATAATTTAAATAAAAACACATAATTGAACAAGGAAAAAGTATACGATTTAGTATTGGTATTAACAAATGAATACAAAGTTTTCTTAAGCTTCTCTTCAACTTCATCCAAAACGAAAAACTGAGATTTGATGGGTTTTTTGAAGCGTGTAAGTTAAACCATTTAATTACACAGAAGACAGTTTGATCAAACAATGTGACCATGTAAGGTCCATATAAGGCATCAACACACATGTGCGATTCTGACGGTGCGAATCTGTTCCGAAAAAATTATAACAATGCCGCAACTATTTATTGGAAATTGCAGACCTACGCGTTCGGAAACGAAAAAGGTTTATAGGCGGGTTCGGTATAATTTAAACAAAAATTAACGTAAGAAAACAAAACATCTTGATTGTTCAAAAGCAAAGAATTTGATGAAGATTGTTTTTTGTTTGGTTATAAGATGCCATTTTTCACTGCGGTAGCATCGCACAGATGTGTGCGTAATTGTGTTTTCGAAGTGGTAAATTCTGTAGCATCAGAAACGGTGCGGAGGTCGAGGTGAACTCGAGCCGACAAAAAAACAATATTGTGAAATTTATTAAGGGCCGCAGTCTACCGGATATCCGATCAGATATCCGAATCCGGCTGTTATTTTTTTACAGGATATCGGGAATCCGATTATCCGGCAAAATCTATATCCGGCACATCCCTACTTATAATACATAGTGAGAATATTTCTTTGCTACCCTTCTTTTGAGGGTTTTTCCATGTAGCAAGTGCAATTTATAAAATCTAACGTTATTTCCTACAATTTTCATTTTATTGCTCCCGTGGTTTTTTATCTTCACACTCAGTCAAAAACCCTTAAGAAATTTTTTAGTTTATTTTTCGATTATTCATAGAAATAGAAGTCATATTTTATCATCTTTAATATGCCAGTTCGAATTCATTGTAAATTGGCTGGCCAAATTAAAATAAGAATAAAAATAAGGTTGTTAATGAGAAGAAAATGAAAGAAAAGTATTTTACTTATTTTTTATATTTTTTTAAAGTAGCAAAACTGCAAACAAAGGATGTAAGAAATGTCAACGAAAAAACTAACAGCCGGTGCGAACAGCCTTTAGCCCACAATCCCAAAACTCGTTTTTGAATTAGGGATGCAATTTCAATGTCGATGTTCAGACCCCATAAACATCGACATATCGTTAATCGATTAACGATGTTTTGACGTCGATGTTTTTGGTAAAACTAAACTTACTGGCTGTCTACATGAGGCGATTTGACAGGTAACTTTTAGTTGAAAGCAACAATCGCCTGGTGTAAACGGACTTTCAACTAATCGCGTTAAATTAAGTTGGTCAACACCCAACTTTTAATTCAACTCATCGCCTGTGAAATGGCCTCATGTAAACACCCAGTTATACATATGCCAATGTATGTACATTGCTTGGAGGTTTGCACCAGCCTTTACATTTCTCCAAACCACAGATTGGTGGCCGTAGTTGGATTAAGCTGCCGCCATCTGTATGCCATTTGCGTCATTAATTAATACTACACTACAAAAATTATGCGTGCCTTGGGTTTGTGGCAACACTGATGCAGCAGCTGACAGAATACAAGACGCAATGTTTAAAGTTGTAACGTTCTTCACAGGAAAAGGTCCATTAAGTGGATATGCATTTCCACTACATATTATCTTTAGCAATTCATATCTATCCTGGTATGTTTCGGTTACGAGCAATTAATCCTCTGACTAATCTGAGACAGATAATAGCATGAGACGTGACATTTGGGAACCACAAACATGTATATACCGTTTCCGTGCCTATACAACATCGCTATGCTCTACTTGCCAACCGTGGCAAACTCAGTCGCAAGTTAACGGTTGTTTTCAGATGCTGGGGCAACAATACTAAAGCACTTTTCACAAAAATGAGATTCTGATATAAAAATCCACCTAAGACTTAACTGTCATCGGTGATATTAATGCTGACCTTGTATGACGCTTGACAGAAGAATTTACTATTAAATTGCAAAGTCAGAATTAATATCAGTTATGTCAGGTAAGTTCCAGATGGGTTATAACATCACAAAGTAGTTTTCGTGAAAATTGCAGATAGAAGATATTAAATATAATCCCTCGATATATATTTACATGTGTTCTGGTTATTATTATACTAAAAAATTAAACTTACAAATAATTTATTGATAACATCGAAAACGTATCGATGCATCGTTCATATACATCGATATTTTCGTGATTGAGGTTTTGCTCTTGAAAAATATCGATGTTTTTATGAGCGATGTTGCATCCCTATTTCAAAATGTTGTCAGTCAGAACATGGTATTCGATATTTTACTAGGAAGGCTTCAAATTCCAATTGTATTACTGACTACTTATGTTAAAAAGTGAATATTTAAAATGGAACTCACCGCAACTCTACTTTCTTTTAAGTCTAGTCTCATAGCGAGGGCTTCACGCATGAAAATATCAGGATAATGGCTTGCAGAAAAAGCTCGCTCCAGCTCCTCCAATTGCCAAGAATTGAAATTAGTTCGAGATCGTCTGCGCTTTGCCGCATTACTATCGTCATCGCCGTCGCCAGGAAAACCTTTAAAATATATATTTGTTGTATACAGTTATTTTAAGGGTATAAAAATATAATATGAAATAAATTGTACGTGCCTACCTAGTATCTAATAATACTATGCCTCGATTGCGAGATTCACCTTTTAAGACTTAATGAATCCGGTTGCTAAATCAGAAACGTCTCCATTGCTCAATAAATCGAATAATCCTTTTTGTGCGAAATTGAAAAAAAATATAAAATTAAAAATGGCTTAAAAATCACACTATTTGATTCACAGCCTTAAGAATATCATTAAGGAGGCTAAGTGCTGTTTTCTCAAGTAGGTTTTAAAATTTATTTGCCTCTCAAACAAATTTTTCAGAACAAACTTCGTATTTAAAGGGCAGAAAAATGTTAAAGCCCACTTGAGAAAACAGCCCTAACTATCGTAAATTAACCCATTCACCTTCATCATTTTTTTAAACCCTTACACCCTATAATGCAAGCATATACACTTCATACACACTACCTAGTAGTAGTATAATTGAAAACTTTCGCCACTATCGACAGCCTTTGAAAAACACCGATGTTGCTTTTTAGCGAAACTTCACTATATCTCTTCTTCACATCTCTATAACAGTTCATGGTTCAAGGCTAAACGCAGTTCTAAGTAATAGTACAATTTTAAATATCCATACATTATAAGAAATCACAATTTCTTTAGGTAAATTTAATTTTAATTTAATTCTTTTATATGGAAGAAATTTCACAACACCTTTAGTAAGCAAATTTAAGAATCATTGGCATCGGCGTAGCCAGAATGAAATTTAGGGGGGGCTCGACCCTATTAAGCTGGCATTTCAGGGTACTATTTTATATATAAACAAGGAAAATTTGAAAGTTAGGGGGGGGGGGCTCGAGCAAAGCTTTTTCTAGAGAAGATAGAGATATGGTTTCTGGTTGAAAGATTTTTGCATATGTGGTGATCCATAAAAAGGAGAGCATCCAAAGTACTTGTACCTGATTGAAAACCTACTTGAAAAGGGAACAGCAGTTTCTTTGTTTTTAAGAACCACATCAATCTTGTTGATATTATTTTCTCCAAGAGTTTGCTCATGCACGGGATTAGTGATATCGGTCGATAGTTTTCTACAAAGAGTGGATTCTTTCCAGGTTTAGCTACGGGAACAATAGTTGCAGTTTTGAAGTTCTGTGGTATTACGCCTGTATTAAAAATAGCATTATAGAGCCTGATCAGCCATAGTTTTATGCAATTAGGGGCTTTTCTCAGCATTTGGTAATCAATTTTGTCGAAACCTGGAGTGGTACCTTTGACAGTTTGTAGGGCAAAATCCGGCTCACTGTGGTTGAACTCACGTTCCAAGTGTTTTTCTAGGCAATCTACATTGTTCACTGCGTGCATGTCTTGAATGTTTTTAAGGTTTGAGTTATTAGAGAAGTATTCAGCCAATTCGAATGCCATGACGAATCGGTCAGAGACCGGTGAATTATGGCGAATAATGGATGGAATGCTAGTTGGCTTATATGTTCTTGTGAGGGTCTTAATTCCTCTCCAAATGGACCTAGTTGAGGATCTTGGATTCAGTGTGAAGTTTTCTAGGCTTTTGCGTTTTACTATTTTCTTTTTCTCTATTAAAGCGGGCGTTCTGTTTTTTAAATACAATTAAAGAATCTAAGTTCCAGCGTTACGAAGCGTGTTTAGTTCTTGTGTCCACCAGGGTACGTTTTTTTATCTTTTGGGTTGGTAACTTGTGGGTATTGTTAGGTTTGCTGCATCTCTGATTGCTTTTTGGAGTTTTGATGCTTCCTTGTTTAGGTTGTGATAATGAAAGTCAAGAAATTTAGAAATAAGAACGCTCTGGTACTTTTCCCAGTTGGCTTTGGCTGTGTTAAATCTGCTGGGTTTATTGTGCGGAAGTGTATTAGCAGGTGAGTATGTAACCGAGCATATAATTGGGTAGTGGTCGCTATTATGCAAATCCTCTAATATATACCAGGACGTAAGTGGGAGTAGTTGAGGTGAACAAATTGTTACATCTACATACATGTGTGAAAGTGTTATGTGTGGAAAAGTGTGTAGGGGTATTGTTATTGAGTACACATAAGTTTGAACTAAGTATAAAGTCTTCGAGGACCATACCCCTCCGGTTGGGGTTTGGTGACCCCCAAAGGGGGCTCCAGCTATTGAAATCTCCTGCTAGGATTATAGGTGTTGTTATGTTGGAAGTGATCTGTGCTAAGTCCGAGACAGAAAATCTTTGAAGGGGTCGAATGTATACTGAGACTATGGTGATTGGGTGTTTTAAGTTGATTTCTATTGCAATAGCTGAAATGCTGGAAGTAAAGTTTATTAATTTATGAGGGAAGCTCTTGTGGACTAGTATGCCGCAGCCTTGCTTAGCGTTGTTTATGTGTGTCAAGTTGTGGAAGTGTGCTGTATACTGTTTAGGTGGGTGTGGGGAGTAGTTGTGTTTAAGGTGAGTTTCTTGGATGCAAATTATGTGGGGTTTATGATCTTTTATTAACAGCACCAAGAGCTGCACTTTTAAAACAACTTTCGAATTTTTGCGATAAATTTTGAATTCTACCCTCTCACATTTTAATACTGGCCATCGGCAATTTTTGGTAAGGTCCATAAATCGTTTTGATTATTCCGGCAAAAAAAATGTCGCGTGCTTTTTACCAGACCCATCTACCGACATGTATTTCGACACCTACCGACATATACTTCGACGTACAGTAAATTATGAAAAACCAAAAAAATAGCAAAAAAATTAACAATTTTCACAATTTACTCGAAATTTTGTACGAGTCAAACTAACGGTTAAAAGCACCCGCCACTTTTTTGTGTGCCAAACCAAATTTGGCAAGGGATGATGGAAAATCGTTCCACATTACATCATACTCCTACCCTGTCGGAAAAAAAAGAAAAATATTTTCTGGGAGTTCTTGATAAATAATCAAAAATTGACAGATTATAAAAATCTTGAATTATTAAGTGCACAGAACCGGGCTGTAAGTATATACATATTTGTTTTGAAATACAGCAGTGTTATTCAGTATATTTTTTTCTCACTGAAGAAGTGAAGATTTTGGTAGTGAAGATTTGGTAACTTTTCTTAAGAGATTTTGGTAGAAAAAAATGTTGGAGGGTGGCAACCATGATGTCAATGCGAGAACTTTGAGTGGCTGGAGTGAGAGAATTAATTGCATGGTCTTTAACTGGGATGTGCGAGTGAGAGCTTTGGGCTGAAAGAGAATATGAGTTTTGTGAGTCAGAAAAAGAGTAGTGGGTTGCATTAGAATGAAGTTGAGTGGATTGTATATTTAATGTATTAAGGCTCTGTTATGCATACTTGGCATTGCATGCACTGCTATACCATTTTTACGTAGAAATCAAAAACCAACAGACTTCTACGTATGTAGTGCTGTGCGTTCGATAACCGATTACACGCGAGGCTCATTTAACAGATTTCTTATGTGACAGCTCTCAAGCCATGCCAAGTATGCATAACGGAGCCTTTAGTATTATTGTTTGGTTTTGAGTATTAAAGGGGTAAGGGTGGATAAAGAGGTTTTTGAAATGGATGTAGATTGCAGATTTGATGATGAGTTTATTAAGGGCACTTCTTGTGAATTTAGTGAGTATGATTTGTTCTTATTTATTTCAGGTGTGACGTCGGAGTTTGAATTGCATGGTTTGTTGGTGCTGGTTGTGTTTGGGACGGGGCGGAAGAAAGTGTGGGATTTGTTATTGATGCGAATGATTGTTTCTCATTCGCAGAAAACGGTTTTTGGACTTTGAATAAGTGCCTGGCTTCATTGAAAATGCATTTATTTTGCGTTTTTATTTTTATACCCGAGCGCACTTGTGCACAAGGGTATTATAACTTTGTTCACATAACGGTTGTTTGTAACAGGCAAAACGAATCTAGATAGATATAGACAAATGTATACATAAATGATCAGGATGAAAAGAGAAATCGATTAAGCGGTGACTGTCTGTCCGTCCGTCCGTCTGTGCACACGATAACTCGAGTAAAAATTAAGATATCTTAACGAAACTTGGCACGTGTACTTCTTTCGGGCGTAGGACGGACGGTATTGAAAATGGGCAAAATCCAAAATCGGACTATAACCACGCCTACCTCCCATATAACGGTAATTTTCAGAAATACGAAAACTGCGATATTTTAGTAACTACTGAAGATTATTAACTCAAAATTGATATTTACAATAATTTTTAGACGAAAAATAAGAATGTTATAAATTTTTGAAAAATGGGCGTAGCCACGCCCACTTATGGTTACATGTGTATATCTTGGCAACCGCTGCACCGATTTCTTCCAAACTTGGCGCAGTTATTGGCCTTGGTACAGGATACCAAATGGCCGAAAATTTTTAAAATCGGACAATAACCACGCCCACATCTCATATAACGGTAATTTGGATAAATACGAAATCTTCGATAAATCAGTAAATATTAAAGCCAATTTATTCAAAATTGATGCTTGCAACAATTCCATTCCAGGAAATACGTCTATAATAAAATTTTGAAAAATGGGCGTGGCACCGCCCACTTATGATCACATATATGTATCTCGGTAACCGTTCTACCAATTTGTACCAAACTCGGTATTTTTATTGTGCTTGCTACATAAAAGCAAAACGATGAAAATTATTGAAATCGGACTAAAATTATGGCTTTTCATATAACGGTAAATTTTAGAAATGCTTGAAACGTCAATATTTTGAAATTTAAGGACGCTAATTTACTCAAAATTGATACACCCCGGCTTACCATGTAGCGGTAGCTTTCGGAAAGGTGAAAATCATATATTTAATATTTGCGCCGGGTATTTAATGTTCGGCTCCGCCCGAACTTAGACTTTCTTACTTGTTAATATTTGTTTTTGTTGTAAATATTTCGGGCAGTCTCTAGCTGAAGCTGAGTGTGATCCAAACATGATGCGTTGACAAGGTTCGGGGGTGTGGGGCGGAAGGTTGCAGACGTCGCATAT